AACCATCCCACAGGCCCCCTTATGAATGGGTTCTACCACACCATGGTAGAGAACAGGTAGGAAAAGTCCAAAGCAATGTTCCAAAACAAAAAATCTTTCTTTCTCTCTCTCTCTTTCACACACACATAGAGTTTGCGTATAGATATATGAATAGGAGTTTGAGGACACATTTATTGTCACAGATATCATTCTGCCAATCTATGTTATAAAGCAATATTTCATGCCTCTATTCCACAAACCTAGATTGTTAAAAATTCTAAATTGTTATAAAGTGTCAGAGCATTCTCCATTCCTTACATAAATAAATAGCAGTTATCCTTTTTAAACATGCCTCTAAGTGAACATTATTTATATCCACGTCTGACAGCAATGTATACTGGATAAGTGGACCTAACTAAGTACTTAGGGATACAATAATGGAAATTATGTGTACATCTTCCTACAAGTCATATATTTCACAACAGTAATGAAAATATAGATACTCACTGTGTAATTGAATTTTGTACACTCTTTTCATTCAAGGTCATTCCTGGTGGTGGGTCATTCTGCAAAGCTAACAGCTCTTTCTGTAGCCTCTTCTAAAGAGAAAGAGAAATCTTTAAACATTTCACAAAGTATTTGAATAGTCAAAGTTATTATCTATGTGATACAAGACATTGCTAAATCTGAATTGCCAAGCCTGTTCTTTATGCCTTAAACATCATAATCATCATGTGTATTATTTATAAGGCAAGAGTCTTTAATGTTGCATTTTGTACAGCAAGTCAAGTTCTGGAAAGTAACTTCTGGCATACTAAGAAACCTAACAAATTCCTTTTCTTTGTTATTATAAATTCCAGATATTAGTGCAAAATAATGTTAAATTATATTAGTAATATTCAAAGTGGTAAGGCAATTTCTCAAAGCAACAGTAGCTTAAACTTTATTCTTGATTATGTATTGTTTTAATCTTACATACAAAGATAGATTAAGGATACCTAAGTTGCTGAGAGTTGGTAATGACTCAAATAGCATATAACCCCAGTAAGGTAAGTAAGTAAATAAATGAACACCACACTGGTTATCATCCAGAGAATCAAAACTATTATTTCTGAACAAGACTGGGACATGTACTACATAAATAACAAAATATATCATATGGAAAATCAGTATAGCACAAGAAACAGATATCCAATGAAAAATGTTTATCAATGAAGCTTAAACTTTCTATTGTGCCTTAAGCAACACTTTAGATTCTGGTCAATATGTGAAGATTCTCATTTTTGACTTTTGACTTGTGCCTTAGATGGATCCTCTTCAAAATTTCTTCAACGGATCTAACTTGTGCCTTCTTTAATCCATCTAACTTGTGCCTTAGATGGATCCTCTAACAAAATTTCAGAAATGTAAAGAAGCTTCAATCAAACTATCTAAAGATTCTTCTAAGAACTATAAACTATATAAATTGGCTTGAACACCTATTAAGTACTTATGATTAGTAAAAGGACGCAATGCATTTATTCAATTTTATCTGCTCCTAAAATTATTTATATCTGAACCGTGTATATATATAGTATGACTTCAAACAGATCTAGACTTGATTCACATAATTTAAAACTAGAAACATGTGAAATTTACTTAACAGTGAACCTAACTGAATATACAGATATAATTCAGAGGAAACACACATAGCATCATACTATTAATTTATTAATTAATGCTTGAAGGTACAAGGAAATAATAGAAATTGGTATTTATTATTTACAGTATCAAATTAAATAGATAACATTTAATGTATAACAGTAGTACATGACTGGGTAAATTATGTCTTTCCCTGAACACAGCATCTGAAAAAAAAACAACAAAGTAATTTCAAGTGGTCATGAGATAACTATAGCTTTCCCCTACCCAATCCTCTCCAGATTTGTTAGATTGGAAGTCTTACCATCCATAGCCAGCAAAAAAGTAAGCATGAGCTGCCATAAGCATGAGGATAAGAGTAAAAGTACACATCTACATTAAAGACATGATCCAGAAGCAGTAAAAACAATTTAGAAGTTAATTACAGAAAAATGTTCTTTAATGAAGATTCATATTCAAAACAATTAAAACATAATGCATCCTCATAAAAGAGCACAACATTCATATACTGATGGAACTCTATGAGCCCAGAATTGCATTTCCCTCTAGGTCATTATGGAGGCTGAGACATCTATAGATGTCCAATATGTTGCCAACTGCACATTACTTATTTATTTAAACCCCAAAGCTTAAGGAGACAGCTTTAAAAAAGAATAAATATTAATGGGGATTGAAAAAACGTACACAGATGACTGATCAATAGTGTATCCAGAACAAAATGTTGCAGTATATGCTAACAAAATAACAGGAATGTTTCTTTTCAGGATTTCAGCCTACTACATTCTCTTCTCCTGAATAATACATTTCATTCTCACTTCCATTTTTAATGGACATTTTAAAATTCTGCATTAATGAGCATGCTCATTCACTGTCCTTTCCCATCACTCCTCCCCTATTTTGTTCTTTTGCAAGGATTTCCAGAAGTTGCAACTTGATATTTATGATTTTAGCTTCTACCTCATTAAAGCACTAATCACATACATTTATAGAGTAATAAACAAACATGCATTTAGAAATCACTACCTTTTATAAGGCTATGTCTTGCTTTACTAAAGACTGAATTATGCTTTTGCAAAGCATGCCTGTGAAGTAAACTAACCAAAACAATTAAATCAATATGTGAGTTTCTTTACTTACAGGATCACAGCCCTAAATCTACTCTGGAATTTCAGAATGGGCAGAAAATAATGATGGGGTAGAATTTATTTGGTATCCTAGTAGTTCCAAAAGAAAATTTGGGGTGGAATTCTCCCTTATGCAAATACATTTCTGCTTGGGCAACAGGACTCTCTTTCACTTTCTTCCCTCATAGGGCTTGCAACATGCCTTTGAGTCTTTTTCTCAAAATTCTGTCCCAGGAATTTCATTGAAGTTTTAAGTTATGTCTGGAAGATGACAAGAGAATATTTAGTATGTATAGATAAAGACTCATCTTAAATGAAGGTCTATACAATATACCTCCAAACACATGGAAAGCACTTTGCAGTCCCTTTGTTATGTGCTTTGTTATTTTTCCTACTGCATTTTGTTGCTGAGAAATACTTTTTCCAGAAACTTTAATCAGAAGTACTTGAAAAATAGAATAATTATTTTGAAGTGAATATGGCTGCTTCTATATAACAGTCATGGGAAATTACCAGGCAGTGTACATGCCACAACTACCACAGTTATTCAAAAGGATGACCCTGAATTTAAGACAACACTTCCCCAAAACTGCTGACATAAAAATAATCTTTTGCTATGCACAGCTTCCCTATCTTATTAACCCTAGAAATTTCACCCAATAAATATCTGTAGGTAATACCCTTAGCGTACGTGTGTGTATATATATTTGTGCCATCAAGTCATTGTTGACTCCTGGCAACTGCTTGGACAAGTGCCTGCAGTTTTCTTAGCAAGGTTTTTCAGAAGTTGTTTGCCATTGCCTCCTTCCTAGGACTGAGAGAGAGAGACTAGACCAAGGTCTCCCAGCTGATTTTGTGCCTAAGGCAGATCTAGAACTCACGGTCTCCCAGTTTCTAGCCTGATGTCTTAACCACTGCACCAAACTGGCCCTGTGTATATTTGTTAGGGCTCTGCAATGTTTCAGATTCAAGACAGAAAAAGCTGTTTTGGAGTATGTATGGGTATGCACATAGCACCAGCAGCAAGTCCTTAAACCAAACATATCTTTTCCTTGGATCACATGATACCTATACAGGGGGTGATCCTGGGAAAAGACACCATTGCTTTGAATTTCTCAAAGTTGGCTTGAAGAGTGTTCACCACCATCAAGGCACTTCTTTTTTATTAAAGGTGGAGAATACTGGCAGCATTAAAACTCTTTGATGCTAAACCCTTGCCCAAATCCTATATGGCACACAAATGGGAATCTGTGCCAAGAAGGACACATTAGAACAAGTAACAAACCAAATTTTTGAGATTCAGACTTGCTGCCTCTAGTGGGGTATCAAATGGCCTGGGCAGATTGGAGACAGTGATGAACAGACCAAACAAATATTCATTCAAATATTAAATGATATGGAGCATTAAGATAAGGTCAACTGGTTGTTACTGTAAATCAGAACTTGGGTTGTGAAGAATAATTGGGAAGCTACAAAATACTCTTATCTACTCCACTGTCTGGGATGGTATGAGAATTCCTACACTGGATAGGAGTTGGACTAGAAGACCTCCATGTCCCCTTCAACCCTATCATTCAATCTCATAATGGACCAGTCCCCCATCTGGAGTTCTTGTGTCATAATGTTTGTGAATTATTTAGCTAGCTGACTGGCTTAAGTTATTTTATGGAAAAGCCGTAACATATGTATACATCTGTTTTAAATTTTAACAATTACCAAAACAGATATTCCTCACCATATGGACTAATTTGTTGCCAATTTCATCACATTTTATTTGAAAATGAAAAAAAGATATATGTACTTTTCTTCTTTAAAAAAGGTGCTTTAAAGAAATACAGCTACGTATGGCTTTACAAGGCAAAACCAGCACTGTGAACTATATCCAGAAACCTACTGTCAATTAATGCAGCACCTGCTGCACTAGTATTACATGGTTGTAGCAGCTCTTACCTGCTAACTGGTGGAACACTGCATTCTGAAAGAACTACAGATTCCAAATTTCAAAGGAAGACCCTTAGAAAAGACAGGAAACCAACCTTGAGGTCACACCAGCATGAATTTCCACAGCCAATGCTTCCCATTTCAAGAAGAGCCACAACTGGCACATGAGCTAAAGCTGAGCAAAAGCTCCCCAGCCATGGTCTCCATCTGCTGCTCCATCTATGACTATGAATCCTGGAAAACTGCAAAGTCACAGACTTGCTGCTTCAGGGGGAGTACAATCCCATCTAGAGTTAATATAGAAACCGACAGAGAATCAGATGGTTTTTGGACATGGAAACACCTCTGTCTTGCTGGGATTAAGCTTCACCCTATCTTCTCCTATCCAGTCTTCTACAGCCTCAAGGCACTGGATTGGGACAGGACTTCCACACATCTTTAAACAGGCCTGGAGTGGCAATGTACAACTGGGTAACATCTGCATAATGATGATACCTCACCTGGAACCCATAAATATTATCTTGCAGCAGTTTCACATAAATGTTAAACATTGGTGGGGGGAGACTCAAACCCTCCACCCCTTAAGGAATGGCCACTGGTTCAACCTTTTTTCTGCCTATATCAATGACTGAAAATGCCTGCTCAGAAAGGAGTAGAATCACTCCCAATCTTCACAGGCTGCCAATATATAATGGCTGTTAGTATCAAATGTTGCTGAGAGAACAAGGGAGACTAGGTAAGACTCCTGATCCAGGTTTTGTCACAGATTGTCCATCCAAATGTCTAAGATAGTCTCAGTCTCATGGCCAGACCTGAAACCTGACTGTAAGGGATCCAGATAAACTAATTCCTCTAGGACCCCCTGCAACTCATGACCTCAAAAAGGAAGGTTGGAGACTGAGCAAAAGTTACCCAAAATGGTTGGATCAAGAGATGCCTTCTTCAGGAGTGGCATACCAAGGCAGCCAGCACAGTTAACTCTTCCAAAGACTCATTTACCACAGTTTGAATTCAACCAGCCATATCCCATCTAGATGCTGGAGGAGCTAGATAAGGCATGGATCCGGTCCACAAGTGGCCCAGCTCATGCTGCAGAGAACCCTATCTACTTCCATGGAATCTACAGGATGAAATGGAACATGGATAACTTTACAAGACTGTTATACCAGTTACCTCATCTGACTTTGCCCATGTAGAGTCTAAACTTAAACAAATATGAGCAATTTTATTAGTGAAAATATTGGCAAATATGTCAGTGGCCTGCCTGACCCTTCCTAAGATGGGGCAGATATAGCTGCTAGATGACATTCTGCTAATGCAGCATGTATAGACAATAACAAATGCTGGGTTGTGATGAGCTGCATACTGATCAAGAAGCAACTGACCAACAGTAATGCTATATCATAAACCAGGTGCTCTAAGGTGAAGACCAGATCTAACCTGTGGTTGCATGTATGGGTTGGACTCAAAATTACCTGGGATAAGCCCATGGAGGCCATGGACTCCTGTACTTTTTCAGACCCTTGCTTCCCACTACATGGAAAATCAGAAGCCAGGAAGTCCCAACACCAACGCTGCAATGAGATTAAGGATGTAAGGAGAATACTCTGCTGAGAAGTAGCATAAGGGATATAAAAGCAGAATTCCTAACTTGTCTCTATACTCCAACTTTATGTGTAGTTACTCATAGCTGACCACTTGCAGAACCTGGCACAGCATCCCGTCATACCTTTCTCTGCCCAGAAATCACAATTTACCCCAACTCTTCTTCCCCTGCTAATTATAGAGGAGTATGATAGCCTTGAACAAGACGTGCAACAGCCATTAGGAAAATATGAACTTAGCTCAGGAAAACAGAAACACACGAGAAACTCAAGATTGCCCTACCTTGACTCTCTAGTATAAGTGACAGGGAAGGAGAAACATCAGGCTTTCAAGGTTCAGTTATTATTGCCTATTTCAACAGAGTTCCAGTATTTCTTCTGGTGCATGTTTCCTGACCTGATCTGCCTTAAAGGGCTGGCACTGACATCCTAGACCCACCCAGCCTGTCACTGCCACCAGCAGTCTTCTGCACAAACTTTAATTAGAACTCTATTCTGAGATGGACTAGCTATGCAGCCACGGCCACTGCTACTTACTACCCACAACCTATAGAACCCTATACCCTACTTTATTATCTCTGGTCAATCATGCACATTCCACTTTGACAAAACCCAAACTACTACCAAACTCAAGCACACTTCAGCTGGTATCCTCTGTGTCCTATGGGAGCCATTCACCTACAGTGGTGCTTAAGTTTGTGAACCCGTTTGAATTTTCAATATTTCTTCATAAATATGACCTAAAATGTGATCTGTTCTCCACACAAGTCCTAAAAGTCAATAAAGAGTACCCAATTAAACAAATGAGTCTAAAACATTATACTTGTTCATTTATTTATTGAGGAAAATGACCCAAAGCTACATATTTGTGTGTGGCAAAAGTATATGAACCTGTAGGATTATCAGTTCATTTGAAGGGAAATTAGAGTCAAGTGTTTCAATCAATGGGATGATAAACAGGTGTGTGTGTGTGAGGTCTGCTTTATTTAAAGAACAGAATTCTGAATATTCACTATCCAAGTCTGATCTTCACAATACAGGTATATGGAAGTTTGTCATGGCTCAAACAAAGGAGATTTCTGAGGACCACTGAAAAACAGGTGTTGACGCTCACTAGGCTGGAAAAGGTTACAAAACGATTTCCAACGAATTTGGATTCCACCAGTCCACCAACAGGCAGATCATGTACAAACAGAAGCAATTCAGCACCACTGTTACCATCCCCAGGAGTGGTCAATCAATTAAGATCACACCAAGAGCGAGGCATGTAGAATTCTGGGAGGTTTCAAAGAACCCCAGGGCAATGGCTAAGGAACCAAAGGCTTCATTTGCATTGGTGAATGTCAGTGTTCATGAGACCACCATCAGGAGAACACTGAATAACAATAGTGTGCATGGTAGGATTGCAAGGAGAAAGCCACTATTTTCCAAAAGAACATTGCTGCCCATGTTCAGTTTGTGAAAGACCACATGCATAAGCCAGAAGGCTACTGGAAAAATGTTCTGTGGACCGATGAGACCAAAACAGACTTTTTGGCTTGAACAAAAAACATGTCTGGTGAAAGGCAAACCCTGCATTCCAGCATAAGAAACTTATCCCACCTGTGAAACATGGTGGTGGCAGTATCATGCTTCAGGCCTCCTTTGTGCCTCTGGAGCTCAAGAGAAAGTGGGTCAAGCACCCAGACAACAACCCAAAACACACAAGTTGTACAACCAAAGAATGGTTAAAACAGAAGAAAATTAATGTTTTGGAATTACCAAATCAAAGTCCTGACTTTAATCCTAGAGAAATGTTGTGGAAGGGCCTGAAATGGGCAGTTCATGCAAGGAAGCCCAGGCTAAAATCCTCCAAGCCAATGTGCAGGACTGAGCAACAGTTATCAGAAATGTTTAGTTGCAGTTATTGCTGCCCAAGGGGGACACACCAATTACTGAAAGCAAAGGTTCACGTACTTTTTTCACACAAAAATATGTAGCTTTGGATCATTTTCCTTAATAAATAAATGAACAAGTATAATGTGTTTATTTGTTTAATTGGGTTCTTTTTATCTAGTTTTAGGACTTGTGTGGAAAACAGATCGCATTTAGGTCATTTAGGCCTAGAACTCAGTCTCCTGGTTTCTAGGCCAGCACCTTAAACCACTACGTCAAACTGGCTCTCAGAATTATTTATTCTAGGGCATTTACGGCTTCCTGGCCAGCTGGGAATTTACATCAGTATTCAAATTCATTCACTACACCAAACTTAGTTAATGTTAATGTGAAATTCACATTAGAATATTTTAATTTTAAATTCTTCAAATAAAAATTTGTTCAGTATATTTGATTTACACACACACACATATTTCACTTGTAGCTAATTAAATAAGTCACAATGTCATAAACATTTAATACTATACACAAGAAGGTATTGGTATCAACAACCTAGATTACAAATATGTAATTGTTAGATTTTTTTTTCCTGTTAAATTTTTAGAGTGAACAAAATTACTGTTTTATGGAAGTCAAGAATGCTCTATAAAATCTCTAATAAACAATATTTAGACTGTTCCCTTGATTCTCTATTCAAAACTTCCCAGGAAATAAGGAATTCCTAGCATGAAAGATAATAAATACCCTTGGCAGTAACAGCACTGACATTTAAAAAAAAAAGAGCTACAAAGAATTTTATCAGTGCCAAAAAGTTATCAAGAAACAGAAAAAACAAAACAGAACAGAAAAAGTGCAATATAGCATTCTTTCAGCAGTCATTTCAAACCACAGCATCAATTTTTAAATATTTTAACTGAGTATAGTCAAGACAGGTACCAAGTAGTCAAGCTTAGTATTCACTGGGAGTCTCTTGAAGTAAGTGCAAGATTGTGTTTGTTTGGTTCTGGGCTTTCCAGGTTCCATGAGTCAGTTTCATCATAATTTGTGTAGCTTTAAAGAAATGTTTTTCCATTACTTCAATGATTTTTACAGGGAAGCTTCTTGATTATTACTGATTAAATAAAACCAGATTGGAGATTTAAACTAGTGCTGAACTTCTATCTTCTATGCAATTCTTCTTGAATTCTATCCAATTGTTCAGAATGGTTAGATATTATATATTCTTAGTATTTATTTGTATGTAGAACTCCTTATATGCTGCCTTTCCACTAAGACATCTTACAGAAAATATATTTTTTGCAAATTTGAGATTTTTGTTTTCCGCATACTTATTTCTAATAGGCATTCTATTTGTTCTTGAATTTCTCTTTTTTAGGACAATCTGATAGCTTATTTAGACCATTCTGACATGCTTTGCTATTGACATTTTGTAGGCAGAAATGAAGAAGTGTGCTGTCCTTCCTGATGTTTTTCTTTTTAAAAAACTCCTAATATGAAGACAATAACAACAGCTTTCAAGATCATATAATTGTTTCTTTGGTTTCTAAGTGTCAGAAAGCAGAAGGATTTCAATTTTTTAAATCTAAAGCCCTTCCTCACAAGCCCCTCTATGCAGTTTCTTTCTTCTTTGCTATCAGTTTCCTAATGGAAAGCAGATGGCATGGACCCCAATGCCTAATTTCCCTCTATGAGGCTGAAGTTTTTTATCTTGAAAGGGAAAATTCAACTAATCATAGAGCACCTCAGGCACTGCCCAAAAGACCACAGCATAGATTTTAAACATTAATTTTTAGTTGAACTCTAAATATCACACACAGCGGAATACAGCTTCAGTCATTCTTACCATATTATTATTTAACACAAGGCAGCATGGGGAGGTTAACTTTAGAAATGGTTGTGGTGAGATTTTTCAATGGATAGCAATAATGGGCAGAAGGCAAATGAGATATTACAGGAAGATCTGCAGTAGCCAATTAGCTGACCAGCAGGAGTTTGACTTCCTGATTCCAATGCAAAGACAAAAAATAAAAGTCAGTTAGAATTTCACAACTCATACATACATGCCCTTGAATACGTCTGTCATCAAAGGGTATACAATGCCCAAGATAACAGTACAGGTCATCCCAGTTTAAGAACAAGTT